GTGTTGATTTTCCCCAAATTATATATTGTGTGTTGATTTTCCCCAAATTATATATTGTGTGTTGATTTTCCCCAAATTATATATGCTGTTCTAATTTTCCCAAAATTATACTATTCTGTGTTGATTTTCCCAAAATTATACTATTCTGTGTTGATTTTCCCAAAATTATACTATTCTGTTCTAATTTTCCCAAAATTATATATTCTGTGCTAATTTTCCAAATCTCAATGACTCATATATTATCTACAGTTGTCGGTAGTTCGTATGACAATATCGATCTTTCCATCTACCAATGAGTTATTCATCTCAATTGGTTTTCTTTTATCAAATCATCAATATCATCTCTCCATCTATCTAGCAATTTCCGCATCCATGGCTATTTAAGTCTCTCGTCATTAATTTCGTATCTATTTCAGTTTGCCAGCATTTATGCAGTCGAAGGCTGTTAATACCTTTCAGAATTATTCCATATTTATCTGCAAGTTTACAGCCACCAGCTTCTCTTTTAAATCTCTCTCAGTGTTAGGTTTTCCTCTTGATAATTTGATTGAAACTCTGAGTCTGCTATTTCGAAATGCAAATATAAAGACATTAAGCCAATGTTCTAATTCTGCAATCAGTTGTTTTGACCAGAATTTTTATCAAGAGCTTATAATAATAGCCAACAAAAAACAGAGGGACAAGTATATTTACACTGTCTTTTTTATATCTGCATGACTGAAAGTTATTGTTTTTTTTCTTTATTGCCATATATATATATATATATATATATATATATAACCTCAATACTGAAGTCAAAAAGATAAGTCTTTTGAACCTCTCTCTCTCTCTCTCTCTATATATATATATATATATATATATATATATATATATATATGTAGCCTCAATACTAAAAGTCAAAAAAGATAAGTCTTTTGAACCTCTCTCTCTGTATATATATATATATATATATATGTAACCTCAATACTGAAGTCAGAAAGATAAGTCTTTTTGAACTTTTTCTCTCTCTCTCTCTATATATATATATATATATATATATATATATTTTAAATAATACTGAAGTCAAAAGATGTCTTTTGAACTTCTCTCTCTCACCCAATATATATATATATATATATATATATATATATATATATATATATATATATATATACACACACAAATGAGAAAAGAACAAATGGAGTAAAAATCCATAATTTGTGGCATTTATTTTTAAAAAGTGATCAATACAAAGTAGAGAAAATATATTTTTATTATAAGAAATTATAATAAAAACATTTTAAATCACTACAATCCATTTCGATTTAAAATGTTTTTATTATAATTTCTTATAATAAAAATTTAATAATAATGTTTTCTAAAAGATTTACCTCTCTCTCAATATATATATATATATATATATAGCTTTACCTCAATATATGTATGCTACTGGATCTGTATCCTCTTAGAAATTCATATATATATATATGATTTACCTCAATATATATATATATTATATATATATATATATATATGAGAATAAACAGTCAAATATTTGACTACATTAAAAGTGCTCAATATTATGTTGTAAGACAAGATTTGCAGAGATGTTTAATATTTAAAAAAAAAGTTATGAATGCCAACCAGAACATTACCATAGTTTCAATCAGTACGGTCTACTCAGGTGGTTTGTTCACCGAATCAGTCAAATGGACCTAAACAACTTAAGTACTTTCATTTGAAATTGGAAGTAGTGGTGGAAGATGTAACAGAAAAAAATTTTTTCCAACTTTAACCAGGTTGAAATAACCCCAAACTGAACTTCTTAACATGTCTACACTTGGTCATGATCTCTGACCTCTCGTTTAATAATTCAGTGCTGTCTTTATACGTTGCAATAGCTAGTTTCTCTTCTTAGCATAGCTTATATGTATTCCCAATTATTATGTTATTCTTTAGATTTCATAAGATAATCCATTTAATGTTTGGGCTTTTGTTATGCTTCTCCCTAATGTTTCAATAGTAGCTTGCTAGCTTCATTTACCTACATTCCAGGATTCTCAAGGATGAGGTATGATTCTACCACTTCTTCTTGACGTGGCCAATTATATATATATATATATATACACACACACACATAAATTGAAGTCAGAAAGATAAGTCGTTTGAACTTTTCTTTTTCTTTCTTTAAATCTCTCTCTCCCTCTCTCTCTCTATCTATCTATCTATCTATCTATATATATATATATATATATATATATATATCTTTTTCCTTGTAGATGGTGCCAAACTGTCACTACTATCTTGTGGCAAAAATAAATAATGCACATGTGCAAAATTAAAAATATAAAATGGTGACAATTTAACCATTGAACACTATAGCTTATAGCTCTTTTATATTGCATCGAGCACTGTTTTATTAACCCGCTGTCAATATGCGATATTTTATATATAATATGATATAAAAGGTTCAAACACTAATATTCCATGGCTATAATTTATTACATTAGAATCAATTCCATGGTTATAATTTATTATATTGGAATAGATTCCAGTGTGATAAATCATAACCATGGAGTATTAATGTTTGAGCCTTTTATATTATATTCCTGCTCTGTTCTGGACATTTGAGCTATACTTGCTTTTTTATATTATTATAATATATATATATATATATATATATATATATATATATATATATATATATATATAAAGAAATATAGTCTTAAGGTGTGCTATATTTATGGGAGAAAGTGCTCAATATCAGAGATAGAGCATAAGTAAATATAAAAGTGAACATAGAAGTCAGCACTTAGAGGCGACAGTCTATTTCATGCTAGATGCAATCGTCAGGCTATGAGTGCTGTTATTTTTCTTGGCTATTTATATATATGGGTCAGTGGTGCATTGTGGGTAGTCTATTTTGGCAGTTATTTTACCGGTAGTTGTTTATTTACTTATTTCGGTTAAGTTATTTTGCTTGTTTTTATTTATTTTTTTATTTTTATTTTTTTTATTTCATCTTATATATTTATTTATTCATTTATTTATTTTAATCGGAGTTTTTATTAACGTAGTAAAAATTTGTTTATATCGCTTATTTAATAGTCTTGTTTTATATATATATATATATATATATATTGACCACTAATATTATCAATATATATATATATATATATATAGGATAAAGAACAAATCGGAAGTGTTTATCAATTTAACATATTTCAAATTTATTATTAAAACATTATTGCATTTTCTACTTCAAATTTTCCAACTATTTCACCATCTCTCTTCCTTCCCTACTTTGGCATTCAGATATCCCATGATGATTAATTTTTTTCAGTTTGGATTGAGCCTTGGTATTTTATAACATACAGTAAATCTTTTAAAATTTCCTATTCTGTACTTCGTGCTGTCAGTGCATATCCAACTTCGATAGATATGTTGAAAGGCTTTTCTTTCATTTTAATGACAAGAATTCTTTTACATAGCTGACAGTATCCCAGAATATATTTCTTCATATCTTAATCTAATATCAGTCCTCCTCCTCTTTCATTTTTCTCTCTACCTGCTTATATGGCTGTGTTTAGCGCTGATGAAATCTCCATTGTTTCCCCACCTTGTTTCACATATGCCTAAAATATTAACATTTAATTTGTTCATTTCCTTCTTTATATTTTCTGACTGGCATATGGATTTAGTGTTCTGATATTCCATGTCTTGAGAATTATTTTTTTTTAAATATTATACTATAGTCACTGGATTGAAAAATCAAAATTGGATCAGTACTTTAAGTAATTTTTTTTATTCCTTGACACTGTTTTTGCTAACAGTCACTCAATAACAGCTGAGACCTGTTTACTCCTTTCCCAGTGAGGGGTTAATTCCAATAAACTTCATGCCGTTATCTTTCATAATTTAATAATTTTCCTAAATTTTCATTTATACAAAATATTAATAAGCTTACAGCCACATCATGTTAAAATACTGGTTCCCATACAATCCATGAAGTTAAGCAACATTGAACTTGGTCAATACCTGGATGTGTGATCACTTGGAAATACCAGGTGCTATAAGGATGTGTGGGTGGCGTAATGGATAATGGCTTGGAATTGTTGATTGGAGAGCCAGCTTCCAACTCCTTTTGGGTTCATAATATTCACTTACATGCAAATACCCTTGGGGAAGATATGAATCCATCTCATCTCCCCTCTCTATGGATTAATTAGCAAGACATTAAAACATTAATATATCTGAAAGAAATGCTTACAATCTAAAAATATTTTCTGTCTTTAAGTAACTTGATAAGCCATAGAAAACAAATGAAACAATCAAAAAAACTATCAAATAAAATAGTGTTCATTGAGTAACATTAAAGCTAGGAGCTCCATCTATTTACCAGTGGCTTCAGAGGCAAATATAAACTATTGTTGCTACATGACATAACAAGCTCCATTGGTATGGCATATTTGATGTATTTCTTCAGTTAGTTGTATCAGAAAAAATAAAATTAGTTTATCTTCAAACATGGAAGCACTTAAAATATGGTGTCTATCTTGTGTTCATTTCTGACTCTCACTCTCTCTCTCTCTCTGTTAATTTCTGGCCCTCTCTCTATCTCTCTCTGTTAATTTCTGGCCCTCTCTCTATTCATTTCTGTCTCTCTGTTCATTTCCATGTCTCTCTCTCTCTGTTCTTTTCTGTCTGCCTCTTTCTCTCTCTGTTCATTTCTATCTGCCTCTTGCTTTGTCTGTTCATTTCTATCTGCCTCTTGCTCTCTCCGTTCATTTCTATCTGCCTCTTGCTCTCTCCGTTCATTTCTATCTGCCTCTTGCTCTCTCCGTTCATTTCTATCTGCCTCTTGCTCTCTCCGTTCATTTCTATCTGCCTCTTCTCTCTCCGTTCATTTCTTTTCTGCCTCTTGCTCTCTCCGTTCATTTCTATCTGCCTCTTGCTCTCTCCGTTCATTTCTATCTGCCTCTTTCTCTCTCCGTTCATTTCTATCTGCCTCTTGCTAAAAGATGATTTTTCTATCTGCCTCTTGCTCTCTCCGTTCATTTCTATCTGCCTCTTGCTCTCTCTGTTCATTTCTATCTGCCTCTTTCTCTCTCCGTTCATTTCTATCTGCCTCTTTCTCTCTCCGTTCATTTCTATCTGCCTCTTTCTCTCTCCGTTCATTTCTATCTGCCTCTTTCTCTCTCCGTTCATTTCTGTCTGTCTCTCTCTCTCTCTCTGTTCATTTCTGTCTGTCTCTCTCTCTCCGTTGTTCATTTCTATCTTCTTTTTCTCTCTCTGTTTGTCTTTCTATCTCTCTCTCTCTCTCCGTTCATTTCTGTCTGTCTCTCTCTCTCTCTCTCTCTGTTCATTTTCATTTTAATTCTCTCTCTCTCTGTTCATTTCTCTCTCTGTCTCTGTTCTCTTTTCTGTCTCTCTTCTGTTCTCTCTCTCTCTCTCATTCTCATTTCTCTCTCTCTCTCATTTGTTGTTTCTCTCTCTCTCTCTCTGTTCATTTCTCTCTCTCTCTCTCTGTTCATTTCTCTCTCTCTCTCTTCATTTTTTTCTCTCTCTCTTTCATTTCATTCTCTTTCTCTCTCTCTCTCTCTGTTCATTTCTGTCTCTCTCTCTCTGTTCATTTCTGTCTCTCTCTCTCTGTTCATTTCTGTCTCTCTCTCTCTGTTCATTTCCTTCTCTTTCTCTCTCTTTCTCTTTTTTCTCTTCTTTCTCTCTCTCTCTGTTCATTTCTCATTTCTCTCTCTCTCTTTTTCATTTCTGTCTCTCTCTCTCTGTTCTTTTTCATTCTCTCTCTCTCTTTGTTCATTTTCTCTTTCTTTCTCTCTCTTTTCATTTCTGTCTGCCTCTCTCTTCTCTCTCATTTCATTTCTGTTTGCCTCTTTCTCTCTCCGTTCATTTCTGTCTGCCTCTTTCTCTCTCTTTCTTTCATTTCTGTCTTTCCTCTTTCTCTCTTTCTTTTTTTTTTCTGTCTGTCTCTCTCTCTCTCTTTCATTTCTTTTCTTTCTCTCTCTCTCTCTTTTTTTTCTCTCTCTCTCTCTCTCTCTGTTCTTTTTTTCTTTCTCTCTCTCTCTCTCTCTCTCTGTTCATTTCTGTCTGTCTCTCTCTCTCTGTTCATTTCTGTCTGTCTCTCTCTCTCTCTGTTCATTTCTGTCTGTCTGTCTCTCTCTCTGTTCATTTCTGTCTGTCTGTCTCTCTCTCTGTTCATTTCTGTCTGTCTGTCTCTCTCTCTCTGTTCTTTTTCTGTCTGTTTGTTTCTCTCTCTCTCTTTCATTTCTGTCTTTCTGTCTCTCTCTCTTTTTTTTTTTTTTCTGTTTGTCTCTCTCTCTGTTCATTTCTGTCTGTCTTTCTCTCTCTCTGTTCTTTTTTTTTTCTCTTTCTCTTTATTCTCTCTCTTCTCTTTTCTTTGTTCTTTGTTCATTTCTGTCAGTCTCTCTCTCTCTCTGTTCATTTCTGTCTTCCTCTCTGTCTTCATTTTCCTTCCACTCTCTCTCTCTGTTCATTTCTGTCTCTTTCTCTCTCTCTGTTCCTTTCCTTCACTCTCTCTCTCTCTGTTCCTTTCCTTCACTCTCTCTCTCTCTGTTCCTTTCCGTCACTCTCTCTCTCTCTGTTCCTTTCCGTCTCTCTCTCTCTCTCTGTTCCTTTCCGTCTCTCTCTCTCTCTCTCTCCCTCTCCATTTATGTCCGTCTCTCTCTGTCTCTTTGTTCCTTTTCGTCCCTCTCTGTTCCTTTTCGTCCCTCTCTCTCTTTTTTTCTGACTCTCTCTGTCTCCCCCTTTCTGTCACTCTTTCTGTTCATTTATGCCTCTCTTTCACTGTTCATTAAAATACAGGTGATGATAAAAAACAACCTTTCTTTTTCCCCAATCTGTGAAGTTTCTACACTTTGTTCTCAAGTCATTTATTCTGTACAATGGATCTTATTCCAAGTATTATCACCCAGATAAAAATGAAAAATAATTTGAATGAAGTTTGACACAATTTCACTCGAGTGCCATTCTTCTCTTTCCTTAAATTCTTCATGGAACTCGAAGAGCAGTGTGAAAGATTCTTTAGAGGAAATGAAGAGTTAAGTCAGCAGGAAATGCAAAGTGGTTTAGAATCTTTGCATGGAAGAGTTCAGACCAATTCCATATTCTTAAAGAGTCGTAGGTTTATAATCAATTCTTGGCATCTTCAAGAGATTCGTTCTTCGCTGAAGTGTCTTTTGAATCGTTGCTGCTTGCTCTTCTAACTCAATATTTCCAGTTCCAAATTCTTGCACACTATGATTATATTCAGGTAATGAGATAGAAATTCTCCCACCTCTCCTCCGACATGTTAAGAGTATTTTCTACCTCTTTCAGACGAGTTATTGCTATAATATTTATGGATATGTCTCTCCGTGGAAATCTGTTAATTATCTCACAGTCTACTAATTATTTGCTTTCATCTGTTCCTATCTGTTACTCACTCTGCTGATTTTTAGCTGTCTTTTTTAGTCTCTCTCTCTCTCTCTATGTGATGGTGCTTTG